TTTTTAAACTACACACTCTCTATCAAAAGATGCCCACAACTTATATCAAACCCATTTATACAATTAATCTGAAGACTAATAACTTGAGACAATAATACATTCAATTTCACTTACCGCAGCCAAATCTATTTGGCCCCCAGCACTGAACCGGGCTCTCCTACATACATCAGGATCTACGCGAAGATCTGACTTTGTACCAACCAAGAGTATGGGTGCGGCAGGAACCATTCGGCGGCATTGTGGGGCCCAGAGTGTGGCGGCCGAAACCAAAGAGCTGGGGCTGTCGAGTGCGAAGCACACCACAAGAACGTCTGCTGGAATTGATGGCTGTGGGCAGCTGGGCACTAGCGTATCTGCTTGTGTATTGAGTAAAAGTAAAAATAGGTTTGCCAAGACAAATGCAATATAAGTGTGTTGCATATAAGCAGTAAAAGCAATGAAAAACGATTGAGGAAGATAGGATATAAGAGCATGATGAGTATAAAAAGATTTTATGATTCCCTTAATTATTCTAACTAGACGGAGACGCTGGCGTATTCCTTACTTTTTGAGATGTCTTCACCCAATTTCGTTTAAGATGACGAGTGACTGGTAGTTGAATTTTCCTACAATTATATGAGTAGAACTTACGGTTACACCCAATTTAAGATAGCCCTGCTTCCCAAAAGGTATTCTCATCCAGGATGTGCTGCAGTTTTGACCTCGCCTAGGCCTTATCAACACCGCCAGCGAGACTCGAACCAAGACACTGCAGCGTATAATCTCGACACATTAACCATAACGCTGCATTGCCACGAGGGCCCTAGGGTCAAAAGGCAGATGTGAATTTCAAGGGAGGACAGGCATTTTCCAATATCACATTCTGTGATGGAGTTGTAGATGAAGCAACGTTGTTTTTGCTATAGCAATCGACAGCGTAACTTATTTTTGGTCTATAAGTAGGCTTTTGATACTACCAGTAGATAATATATTTATCTATCAGTGATTCAAAGTATCTGATAGAGCATACTAATCTGCTCGTTGTTCACAACGCTCGTTGCCGTCATGTTTTTCATTAATCCATCAGGCCCTACGATCATTCGTCAGAGTGTGCCACTGAGGCAGTAGTAAGCAAAAGCCTTGAGTAAGCTATGACGTTATCCGTGCCACAAAGGTTGTTATCCTGATCAAATTTGAGATACGATAGTGTAGAAGATCTTTTGCCAACACAATCTAACCCATTACATTGAATCAATTCAATTAGAAAAAAAGTAATACATTTTCTTTTTTTAACTAATTTATATATTAAGTATTGGCATCTATAATATTTATTACGTCAAGGAATTCACCCAACAGATAGTTCCCCAGAGGATACTGAGTGACATTGCAGTTGTCCCTTTAATTGATGACCACGTAGAAGTACCATGTTAGAATAGGACAGTTAATACTAATTTAAGGAAGCATAAGGCGAATGACCAATTAGTATTGAGGGCAGACAGGGAAGAGCAATAATATTATGGTTAGGAATGCTTATGTAGGGAAAATGATAGAAACAGTAGACGATGAAACAACATATAAAGCTATAAGTAAGGACTCGACAGAAGGCCTTTAGATCAGACTTGGGGATTTTCTGCAACAATGTGAAAACAGCGGAGAGCTGGAAAGGTGGAAAATGAACGTGTTTCTCCAAAGAGATGCTAGATCCCCAAATGCGTATGGTCTGCCCAAAATTCACAAACAAGGTAGTCCACATAGGATTATTGGAAATAAAAGAGGTAGTCTAATGCATAAAACATCACGAATAATACATACTCAGTTGAAGCGAATCTACGAAACTTGGAAGCTTTCGATAATGAACTCAGACGACTTTATAAAGGTAGTTGTTAATCTGACGTTAAAAGGATGAGATTTGCTGGTAAGTCTCGATGTAGTGTCTATGTACACTAATATTCCTACAATCAAGGCAATTAAGGCTTTTTGGATTAAACTAGATCAACATCCTGGGATCATAATAGGTAAAAAGTTAGGCAAAGGTTCAGCCATTATATTATTCATATTTGCAATGAATAATACATATATTACCTTCAATAGCTTACTACTGAAGGTAAAGATTGAATAGGTTTTCAAAGATTATTTAGGTCAATTATTTAAGCTAATGAATAGACCTTGTGTAACGTACTTATTCCTGTGTCCTCTGCCATAGTATTCGTCATTTTCAGCATCTAAGCCTTAACTTATTACATTCCAAAACGTCTCGCCGGCACTGTAATCGGCAGTGTCAGTGAGAGGAGACATCGCTTGCACAGAGTTACAACTGAGCAAAGTGACAAGTGAAGTCAATCCCCTTGACCAATTTTATGTTCAACCGTTTTGGCATCACTCCTCGTTCTTATTTTTTATTTAACCTTTTGGTAGTGTATCTCTTTCCTACAGCCCACCTTCATATGACCGATTTACACATTCATTCTGTGCTCCCGTTTTCCCCA